TACAATTTATTTATTTATTTATTTATTTTAAATTTTTTTATTTTATTTATTTATTTATACAAGCACTGGGTATAGTCAGAAGCGCGGGTGGGTGAGAGAATTCACCAGAGCCAGAGCGGGGAGCAGAGCAGGCAGAAGGACCGAAGTACACTGCTGAGGGGAGCAGCGGGCGGCAGGAGAGGTCTGCGCGCCATGTGGGACCCTCCCTCAGGTGGCGGGGGAGCAGCCGGGGATCAAACCGGCGCTGCAGAGGCTGCAGGCAGCTTCACAGCCCAGCGCTCAACCGCTGCGCCACCAGGGGAGGCCCAATTTCCTACAATTTAATAGGCAGTACTCGGGGGCAAACATTCAAAAAAGCAAGTAAATGTTATTTTGAAGGTACCCCCACACGATAACCCTATTTATGAATAAGTTTTGGTGATTTGGGTTCAGTCCTTTGGGATTGGCTCCTGGATCACACTTGTGGGTCCTGCCTCACCCGGTCTCCTGGCTTTTGCCCACCACAGTGACCGGTTAGCGCTGCTGCAGGTCCGGGCCATCCTTCAGCAGCTGGGCCTGGACAGCACCTGCGACGACAGTATCCTCGTGAAGACAGTGTGCGGAGTGGTGTCCAGGAGGGCGGCACAGCTGTGTGGCGCTGGCATGGCTGCCGTGGTGGATAAGATACGAGAGAACAGAGGCCTAGACCATCTCAACGTGACTGTGGGGGTAGACGGAACACTTTACAAGCTGCATCCACAGTGAGTGGGGCTTCCGGTCGGAGTGGGCAGAGCTTCCAGGGCTGGCGAATCCCCTTTGTGGTTATGGGACATCAGGATGGGCTGCCTACCTGGAAAGTTCCTCATCAGGACACAGCCAAATGGAAGGTTGTGCATGCAGGAACTGGGGCCTCTCCAAGTAATAGAGCCGCTGTGAAGTTTAGCTGGGGTCCTTGGGGAGGCAGAGAAGTGGCTTCTCTTGGTCAGCTCACGTCGGCACTTTGGCATGTCCCTCCCCCCACGCCACTGGGCTCCTCTCAGGCCATGCAGAGCCTGGGTGGGCTGAGGAGCAGGGAAGGGGGCATCAGCCTGGTTATCTGCAGTCTGGCTGGAGGCAGGGAAGTGGGCAGAGGGGAGTAAAAGAAAGAGGAGCAGGGCCATTGTCTTGTTCACCTGCGAATCAGTTTGTCAGGAGACTTGGAGGGTGAGAGCAGTTTAGGTCCTGTGGTCTCCTTTTGGTCAAGTAGATGTCACCCATCTACTCTGATCCACATTGTCTCATCACTTAGTTCCTTGTATAGAGTGATGATATTATTTATTGTCTAAACTATTTGCCAGTGAGGCCAGTGCTACTAATCATTGCGCTAGGTCCATCCATGTAAACTAGGCCATAATGTCAACCCACTTACAAGAATGTTACCCATCTCAGCGCAGGCTGTACCTGCTCACCTCATAGCCAGGGCGTGGGATGGAAACGCCTCTCTTGCTTCATCCCACCTCTGTCCCTCCACCTTTGTATCTGTCCTCCTCATCCCCTGAGGTGGCACACAGGTATGGTTTAGAGGTAGGCTGTGGAACTAGACAGACACTCTCGGATTTAATCCTGTCACTGTCATTTAGGAGCTGCACTCAATTGCTTAATCTCTGCAGTCTCATCTAGCTCTGCAGAGTCACTGGCAGCACTGCCAGTTATGTATGTAAATTGGGGGGCACGTATGTAAATCGTAGTGTAATCGTATGGGGGGCACGTAGTGTAATCGTAAATTGGGGGGCACGTATGTAAATCGTAGGTGCTCAGCAAAGGGCAGTCACTTACCTGAAAGAGCCCCACGACCCACCCAGCATCCTCACCTTCGCCTCAGGTGCCTGTGTTGGGCAGCAGATGGGCTGTGCTGTGGGTGCCAGAGGACTAGAGCTGAGACTGGATGCCGGTTCTCCCCATGTGGCTGCTGAACTGACCCGATGCCGGGTCAGCCTGGGCCAGCCTCTGTGGTCCCCATCCAGGCCCCAGCGTTTCTGCTCTCAGTTCTCGGTCTCCTTTGTTTCCAGCTTTGAGGCTGAGCATGGCTTGTGCCTGGCCCTTAGAAGCAGTACAACGTGGTTCATTTTTGGATTCTCAGTTTGCCTCTGTGCTGAGCTGTGAGGGTAGGATGGGCTGTACCCCCTTTCCTCTCGGCTCCTTCCAGAACCTACCTGGTTCTAAGCCATGCCCCCTTGATTCTTAGGGTATCTTAGTGTCTGCAGGTGGGTCCATTGTCTCAGCTTCCTCTGCCTCCCCCTGCATTTGTTTTTCTTTTATCTCTTTTAGCTTCTCCCGAATCATGCACCAAACCGTGTCGGAACTGTCACCAAAGTGTAACGTGTCCTTCCTCCTGTCCGAGGACGGCAGCGGCAAGGGTGCGGCCCTTATCACGGCAGTGGGCGTCCGGCTCCGAGAAGAGAGGAGCAGCTAAGAGCCCTGGGCCCCGCCCGCTGCCCTCCAGCACCTCTCTCTTCCAGCGGCCACCCCAGCCTCCCGGCAAGCTGTGCTGGGAGCCGCCTGCGCCCTGGCTGGCCACCGCCACAGCGGGGAGGAAACAAAATCCAACTAATGGCGTATAACGTAGGGTACAAAATAGAGTGTGTGCTGTTGATAATCTCTCTCACCTCCAGATCCCCCTCACCTGCCCTGACACTCTGCATGATTTGATTTCAGCCTGGTTATACGTTCCCCATGCGTGAAGTTTAGTGGCATCCATTCCTAATTTCTGCATTCATCCAGCAGAGTTATTTATTGGCTCAAGATGAAAAGTCACCATCTGACAGGCCTGCTGTGCCACTGCAGCCTGTCTTGGGGACACATCCTGTGTGAAATGTATCAACACCAGCAGACACTGCCGGGACCCCTCCCCTGGGGCACATTTGCTGCTCCCTCCTTCCCAGCAGCTGCTGCTGGCTGGCTTCGCGAGGGGCCCATGGGGATGTGTCAATGCCACTGAGTTGTGTGTCCATGGAACTGGTCATCGCCACATTGTGACAGTCTTGACAGTCTTGAATCTTGTCTGTCTTGTGGGGGGGAGGTGGGCAATCCTGCGGGGAAGTGTCTTGTCTCCATTTGGGTAAAAGGAACCAACCATCCATGCCCTCATCGGAATTTCCCATCGCTTTTGTGAGCCATGTTGTATGACCTAGTAAACTTTGTACCAATTCAAAGACCCGAGTGATGCTTAATGCTTAGGGAGGGGGAGGACATCTTGGGATGCAGCAAAACCCCAACCCAGAGGATTTTTGTGGCCTTCTTTGTCAGGGTGAGAGTTTGAAACAAAGATTGTGTCCCCCAGGTCCCAGCCTTCATTGGGCATGGCCTCCCTGCAAAGTATCACAGCAGTAGCCTCTCCTCTTGTCTTCCAGCACCTGCACTCCTGTTTCCCTGATCCAGCCCCACGGCCCTACCCCAGGGAGGCTCCAGCAGCCCCACCCCAGCACGTTCAAGGTGAGGGAGGTAAGGCCCCTGTCCTCCTCACCGGTAGTTACAACAAAGAGAGAGTCAACCTGGCTTCCAGGGGGCTGTTTGGATTCAGTGAGAGGACAAGCAGCTCTGACCCTCCCCCTGCCCCTTCATCATCTTGTCTGTCAGCTCCAAGATGACAAATGAAAGAGACCCCCAGCCTCACACAGAGGAAGCCTTGCAGCAGCCCAGGGTAGCAAGGCTGGCTGTGCTCACCCTCTTCCAATCTTAAATTGACCCCTTCCTAGGAAATTGGCCCCCTCAACCTTGAGGTTGCTCTTCCACCCCACAGCTGCCACTTGGGATTCTCCCCCCAGCCTGACGGGGGTCCCCCGTCAGTCTGCAATCTGGTGCCATGATTGGGGTGGCATGTGAGTGTCCCACGCTGCGACTGTAGCTCCCCGAGGTGGCTCCCCCGCCCTGGGATTGACTACATGCCCATTCGGTTTGGTGAGACCTTTATTTGGCGCTGCCGGTGATCTTTGTGGAGAAGCAGGTAACATTAAACTCTTGATGTGCATTTACAGTGTCACGTGGTTCTTCTGAAGGGGCACCAGAGGGTGTGGAGGGTGAGTTGGAGGCAAGCAGACTGGGCCAGGACTGCCTGCAGCCCTTGGGATGGTTGATATTTTCAACTTGCTGCAGAAGCATTGCGAAAAGCGGTACTAAGGGGGCATTCATAGAAGCGGGCTGCCCTGAGCCTCATATAAGTCATGGCTGCTTCTTACCCAACGCTTCATCTGTTTGGCCCACTCATTTATAGGCCTCCCTTCCCTCATCTTCGCAGTGTCCCTGTTAGTGGTCTTGCCTTTGGGACAGGAGGAGGTTGAAGGTGAAAAGACTTGCATATGGCAACACAGCTGATGCTCCTTTGATGCTGCACCCCCTCTGTGGTGTACCCCCTCTACACTGCTAGTTGAATTCTCAGGTGGTGGGCTTTGCAAAATCAGAAGCTCCCTCCCTTGTGTCTTTAGCCAGATAATGAATCAGTGTCACAGGCAGGTGCTGTCCACAGGTGTGTTTCAGTCACTTTACCCGCAGTTGATAGAAATGAGAGCCAAGTATAACAAGGCTGAACACCTCACAAATTCAGGTTTCTGCCTTATCCTGGAAGACACAGAAGATCTGGCTCCTGTGACATGGCAAGATCTGTACAGAGCTGCCCATCTGCTGTCCTTTGTGTGCCCATTTCTCTGGCTTGCTAGTCCCCAACATGGGGAGTCAGTTGCCTTTATCACATGTTTGCAGCTTTTCTTTTAGACTGGATTCAATGCATTCGCTAAATTGCATGCCACCCGAAAGGCATTTGAGGTTGCAGCTCCTGGATTAGATAGTCCTGGATTTTGACTTTACTGGATTCCCTGAAGCACTATCTGGGCTGGAGGGCTGAGGCCCATTAGAGTCAGTATATGCTGTAGAGCTCCCAGCCCCATCTTATTTTTCCACTGGTGTAGTGAAGAGTGAGGCAGGGGCCAAACTTTCAGATCTGGTCTACTCAAAGGTTGCTAACCAGGCCCTGCAGCCCGGCCCAAGGCTTTAGAGTTCGATAGATACACCATCTGGGGGACCCCCAGCCTGCCCATTGACAGCTTCAGAGGGGGCCACATCCCCAACCATGAACAAAATCTCTTTAGTGTGACACCTGTTGACCCTCATGGAGATGGACGGAGTGTGAGTCAGCTCCATCTTATCCTCTTCGATGGGCGTGACCCATGGGCAGCAACGGAAAGCGAGCCGGAATCCAGAGCGAAACCTGGGGGAGAGGGTCACCTTGAGCAAGGCAGTGAGGGGGGCAGTTACAGGAGCTGCTGTGTGGTCCCCACAACCAGGAGCCCATCTCCCCTCCAGAGGACAGCCTCACTCCTAATAGCCTGCCGTTGCTCAGTGTCTAGAGGGACATATTATTTAATGGATTTATCCATTAAAGCTCTGGACAAACAGCCAGAAGTAACCTAGAGCTAAGTCTAATGATGGAAATGGGTGATTAAGCTGTTAGTACTGACAGACAAAAAGAAATCAAATACAATGATAAGCAACAGATTTTTTTGGCTTGACTTGTTAAATGGCTCCTAAAGGAGTTTTTGAAGAGGAGTCTTAAAAAATTGGGCCTTTGGTGATGTAGGTGGAATAACACTACTCCATGGGGACAGCTTTGAAAAAAATAATACATGTGAAATTACACAGCTGTGGTACTTTTGCTTAAAAAATAATGAACTGTCGGGCCTCCCCTGGTGGCGCAGTGGGTTTAGCGCCGTGCTGTGAAGCTGTCCACAGCCTCTGCAGTGCCGGTTCGATCCCAGCCGGCAGGTGAGGGTTCCACATGGCACTGCAGACCTCTCCTGTTGCACCCGCTGCTCCCCTCAGCAGTGTATTTCATCTGTCTGCCTGTTCTGTTCCCTGCTCTGTCTCTGGTGAGTTCTCTCGCCCTCCCGCACATCTGGCCTGTACCCCAGTTCTTGTATAAATAAATAAAATAAATCTTTAAAAAAAAATAATGAACTGTCCCCATGACAGCACTGAGGACGACATGTAAACTGGAGCTAAGAAGCAGCAGACTGAGTGGGGGGAATGGGCTGGCAGAAAGAGAACACGTGGGCCATCAGGGAGCAGAAATGTGACCCAAGTGGCAGCAACGAGGGCAAAGAGCTATACAGATCTTCCTCGACTAACAGTGGGGTCAGGTCCCAATAAACGCATTGTAAGTTGAAAGTATTTTGGAAATGTGTGTAGACACCTAAGCTCCCCAAGATTCACAGTTCAGCTGAGTCAACCTTAAACACAGTCAGATACTTACTTTAGCCTACAGTTGGGCGAAAACATCTAACGCAAAGCCTGTTTTATTGTAAAGCGCTGAATATCTCATGTAATTTATTGCCTCCTGCAACTGAAGGTGAAAACGTCAGTAGAGTGTTGACGGTTTACCTGCAGGATCTCGTGACTGGCAGGAGCCGCGGCTTGCTGCCCTGCCCAGCATCACCAGGGGCTCAGGCCATACACTGCTAGCTGAGAAAGCAGACTTGAAAAGCGCTGTGTCTACTTAGAGCTTTTGTGCATCATAAATTGGAAAAATCATAAAGTAAACCATGGTAAGCTGGGAACTGTGTGTACCGAGGAAACTTAGGACTCCATGTTCCAGAAGAGCAGGACTCTGTTGGCTCCTCCCCTTCCAGCTCTACAAGATTCCACACTGCGGCCTAACAAATGCCTTTGCTATGGGAGCTTAATGTCCTCTACCCTTCAGCATGTCCCAGCCGAGTTCCTCCCCACAGTCCTCCTGTCCCGACTTCTCCATCTTTCCAGTTGCTCAGGCCAAGAGCCTTGGAGTTGTCCTCGACTTCCTCTTGCAGGCCAGACTCCCTCTGTGAAATTGTGTTGGTTCTAACTTAGCCATATCAGATTCAAACCACTTCTCTCACCAGGATTACTGCAGTTGCCTCCTAAACATCTCCCTGCTTCTCTGCAGTGGTCCAGTTTCAAGAGCTGCTGAACTGATTCTTTCAACAGAGAAGTCAGCACATGTCTCCCCTGCTCAGAGTGTCCCAGAGCTCCCCATGTCAGAGGACTAGCCCTTCCCTCGCTGTGCCCTCTGCCTGGAACTCTTCCCCAGAGTGCTATAGGGCTGACCCCATCCTTAAGTCTTTGCTCAAAAGACTCCTGAAGGTCAAGGCTTACCCTGACCATCTTGTAAAACAGCAACCCCTGAGTCACTAGCCTCTGGCCTGCCTCAGCCGGCCCTGGCATTTCTTTTTCCATAGGACTTAACACCTAATGCACCATGTGGTTCACTTACTCACTGTCTCCCCCTCCAGAATGTCAGCTCCCTGTAAAAAGGGATCCATGTTTTTGCTCACTAATATCTCTCAAGTGCTTGGGGCAGTGCGGGGCACACCTAGTGAACATGCCTGCCAGGGGGACCCATCCTACGTTAGTGGGTGTCATCAAGCTGAGTGATTCGCAAGTATTTCAGAAATTTTGGCCCTGGGGGGGGTGTTCAGATACTCGGGGACTCTGCTGCCAGGTAGTGGTCCCTCCTAGATAGGACAGTCCCTTGTATCCAAGAGAAATGTGTCATCTGGGGATAAGATTACAGGCCTAGGAGATAGATGGAATCGGGCCCCATCACTTGCTGTGTGGCTTTAGCAGAGTCTTCCTTTCCATGGCTGTGTGTCCTCATCAGTAAAATGGGGATAACACCCATTTCCCTCCTGTTATCCATCTCTGCCCCTCAGGAGACAAAGGAGGGTTCTGGCACCATTAAATACTCAAAGGTATGGTTTTCTCACTTCCCTCTGTCCTACCCCAGATTGGTGGCCTGAGCAAAGATCCTGAACAGCAAAGACCCTAATGGTATTACGGCCTGCACACGTGGGCAGAGGTGTGATAAAAGGCATGAAGAGCAAGGAGACCCGGGGCCAGCCTCCCCCACATGCTGCCTTGCCAAGGTCAGGGCCCTTGGTCCCTCTCTCATCTCCTCTCACCTGGAATCCCCGGCTGCGCTTTCTGAGGCTGAATACGCTGCTTTGTAAGAGGACTCCTGGGTGCTGCTGTTCCTGCCTGGCCCATCCCAAGTGCCCCGGGGCAAATGCCAGCCCCTCTCTGTGAAGCCACCTTCCCAGAAGTACAGGGCTGGAGAAGCAGACGGTGTCTGAGGGAGGAGTGATCTTGGCTGTCTCTGCCACGATTGCTTCCCAGCTGCTCTAAAAGTCCCTTCAGAGCAGTCCAGGGTGGGCCCTAACCCGGGAAAGTCCTCGGCTCTTCCTTATCGCAGGGAGTTCTTACAAATGTCTAGTCAGGGGGAGTCTCTCCCTCATTTCCTGACTCCTTTCTTCCTCTCTATCCTGCCTCTCTCACCCCATCTCTCTGCCCCTCCTTTCTCCAATGTAGCCCCCAGAAGAGAGCAGGAGCAGAGAGGGTGAGAGCAATGACTTGCGCAAGGGGGCAGGCTTTGGGCTGAGACCAGAGGGCCAGCCTGTCGGCCCCCGAAGGCTGAGGAGAGGGAGTGGGTGGGGGGCTCACCTGTGGTTGAGACAGCAGTAGATGATGGGGTTGTACATGGTGGAGCTCATGGCCAGCCAGAAGATGGCCAAGTAGACCTGCTGGATGAACTTGCAGTAGTAGATGTCCTTCTGGAAGTGGCCCAGGATGAAGTAGAGGTGGTAGGGCAGCCAGCAGATGGCAAATGTCACCACCACCAGCACCATGGTCTTCACGAACTAGTCCAGGAGACGCTCGGGTCACTCCTCAGCCTGGAGCACTGGGCCCCAATCCTCCCACAGGTGGGCTGGGGTATCCTCGTGCCAGCCTGGGAAGCCTTCCAGGAGCGTGCCCTGTCTTCCTCTATGACCCCCGTGCCCTGTGGCATCTGCTCCTGCATGAGGCTCAGTGGAGTTGATGGCTCCTGCCTCCGATTCAGGGCATTTGCTCAGTATGAGCCCTCTGCCCACACTGCTGTTCTGTTGAAGTTCTCATTCCTCGAACCAAGTTCAGTGGAAGGTGTTTTGATCCCATCACTCAGAGCAGCTCACCTCCCCTCTTGCTCCTAACCCCATCTTTAGGGGAGCCCCTAAGCCAGCTGCAGGTTCCCAGACCCCCTTCTCCTGGCTCTGTCTGCATAGCCCTTCTCTCTCTAGGTAATGAGGCTGTCACTTGACACCCCAGCCTCTGGCCAGGGTCCAGCTCCCTGAGCTTTCCCCCATCATAGCCTGGCCTTTGCAAGGGCCCAGGACTCCATGAGGGATGGAGGGCAGGCCAGCAATGGCAAGTGGAGACCAGCTCTCCATGTGGAGGGACACCTGCATGGTGCCCCAAATCCAACCACCTCCCTGAAGGGCCCTGTGAGGAAAGCCCTGTAGCAGGTGCTAAAGCCCATGACAGGTGACGTGGCTAACCCATCACTTCCCAGTCAAATAGCAGGGACATGTCAAAGATAAGCTTGGATTAGAACATCAGGAACTCAGGGGCCCCGGAATGACAGGAGGAGGAGAGATGCTGACATTTCTGCCCGAGACTGAAGCAGACAGGATGTAGTTGGCCTCCAGTCGGGGTCCATGATCTCTGAGATCTGCACTCCAGAATCCTGAGACTCTTTATCTGTGAGTCTCTTATAGTCCTGTGGGTACTTACATTCAACTTTCCAATTACTCAAAAAAACTCTAGGACTTTAAGATTCTATCATAATAAATTTCCTGGGGGGTACCTGAGGACCTGTGGGGCTTTAGGATGCCCCAATTCTAAGATTCTGGGAAGTTCCTTGAACCTTGTATTCAGCCCAAGCCCAAAGACAAGTCAGGCCCCCGCTGAAGGAACGAACAGACTTGCCAGGGCCTTGGAACTAGGCCCCCTCGAGCGTGGACTTTGAGCCAAGAAGAGCAGCTCCCCGAAGGTGAGAAGCTGAGGCCGACCACAGCCCCCGCCCCGGCCCCGGCCCGCCCCGGGCAGCCCCAGCCGGCCCCGCCCCGCCCTTAGCGCCCACCTTCTTGGCCTGCAGGTGGCGCAAGTTGGCGCCGTGCGCCTGGTGCCCGGGGACCCCGCGCCTCCAAAGCGTGAAACCAATGACGCTGTAGGCGACGAACATCACCACGAGGGGCAGGAGATAGATGAGAACGATCAGCACGAGGTGGTACCTGGAGGGAGAAGCAAGCGCCTGGGCACAGCCTGCTCGGGTATGGGTCGGAGAGGAGGCGGCGAACCTGACATTCACCAGCACTGCGGATCGGGGACCCCGCGCTCCAGAGCCGCTTGCCCCCAGCTGCGGTGAGTCATTTAAAGAAAGAAAAAAACACCAACAAGGGGTAAAGATGTGCCAACCTCGGTTTCCCCATTTGTAAAATGAGGTCATCTCTTAGACCCTTCCCAAATTCTAGAGGCATTTCTCCATCCCCTCCTTCTTGGTTCGGATCCCCCCTGAGCTGGGTTCGGACACAAAGGGAGCACCGAGGAGCTTTGGGGACCATCTCGTAGGACAAAAGTCAGGTATGTCTCCCCTCACAGTCTGGATTGTTTTTGTTGGATTTGGATGGGGTGGGGGGGTGTATGTGCACTTATCTGCATAGAACATGTGCGATTTCAGCAGATTCTGAGACACACACAGGGCGCAAGCCTGAGAGGATGAAGCCCCCATCTAAATCTCAGACCCTCTTACCTAAGAGCCAATAATAAGTTCTCATGCATAAAATGAGACCCCCCCCCCAAATCCTGTCAGAATTATGAACAAAGTATGGCCACCCTAGCTCACCTCTGCCTTCCTGTTTGTCTCTGAGGCCTGAGCCAGGGCTGGAATTCACCTCAGAGAATCCCCTTGGTACCAAATGAGAAACCTCTGCCCCCGCAGTGGCCAATCATGAGATGTTTTGCTCTCCACCCTCCCGGCTCCCACCCCTTTCTAGAGTCCATTGGGCACTTCCCCAATGGACACGGCTTTTTGGTCAGTCAGTCCTTCTGAGAAGGATATAGGGTGGGGGCAGAGACCCAGGCAGGGTGTGCCCTCACAGCTGAACAGACTTCGGGCACTGAAGGCATCGAAGACCAGAGAGCCGCCCTGGGCGGGCACTCAGGACGAGACCGGGTAGGGGCAGGGGTGGGGTGGGGTGCTGAAGGAGGTGGGGCGGAGCTGTGTGGTGCTAACCTGGCGGGCTCAGCTCAAGTGTTCACCTCTTCATGCTCAGGACAGTGGGAGCTTTGCTGGCCTAAATCTGCCCATCTCTAGTTTGTCTTCTTTTGCCCCTATTTAAGCTACCACATATCCAGGGTCAGTTCTGGCCCAGGCACGGTGCTTAGGGCAGTCATGTACCTGTTCTCATATATGATCAAGATTCTCTTACTCATTTCCATTGGAGCAAGAGGGAGCCAAAGGATCAGAAAGGATCAGCCGTCAGGGACAGAACAGGACTCTGACCCTACTTTCTCCAAAACCTCAACCAGTTCTTCATCTGTCTTCACCAGCCATACTGCGCTTGGGGACCAGGAAGTCCCAGTGGGGAAACCACACAAACTGAGGCCCAGAATGGGGGAAAGACTTACCAGGGTCACAGAGTGTCTGGGCCATGCCCCTCTTAGCCTGCCCCCCAACTCATAGTGCACCCCTCCACCCCAGGCAGGCCCCAGGCATCCTCCCCAACACATCCCAGGCCCCACTGCTTTCTGCCTCAATACCCTGACCTGCTGTGATCTGAGCATTTACAGCACCTTCTCCTAAACAGTACCTGTGTGCACATGCCTTCCCCAAACAGCTGCCTGCTTACAGACAGAGACATAGGTGGGCACATGCATGTCACGTGCACCTCACATGCACACATATCCTCACTGAAGGAGACACGGAATTCCTTGAAGTGGTAGCATGGTGAGGAGCTTGGGCTCTGAAGCGGGACTGCCTGGATTTAAATCTTCACTCTCCCACTGACTAGCTATGTAGTCTTAGGCACAATGCTTAGTTTTTTAATGTCTCAGTTTCATCTGAGAAAAGGGAATAATAATAATAAATGCCCAGGTGGTTAGAAGATTAAACGGGCTCATTATATAAAGTGCCTGATACTTAGCAAGTGCTAAGTGTTACTTTTAGTATATCTGTGAACGCACATAATCCCATACACATCCACAAACATGTGCACAGTGCTGGGCACAACCACTGTACATGGGAACACCTTGTGTGTGCACATGATATAGCCACATTCTCAGGTATATACATGCATGCATACACACACACACACACACACACATCCCTTCCCAGTCTTACAGGAGCTTCTTGCCCCCACTGTCTTCAGGCCAGTCCACTAAGCACTTGGTGGCACCTCTGTCCACGGTGATGGCTGAGTAGAAGCACTGGGGAAAGGCGAGGGCCAGAGCTACCAGCCAGATACCGGCGATGACGGCTTTGGTGCCAATGCCCGAGAGCCGGGGTTGGAAGGGGTGGACGATGGCCATGTATCTGTGAACAGAGGGCAGTGTGAGTGCTGAGTGCGTTCTGTCAGGTCAGGCCCCACCCCTTTTCCTCACCCCAGACCCAGGCCCATATCTTTGAGCCCAACCCCCACCCCCCACAGCAGCTGGGGATCTGCAGGGAACTGGCTGGGCTGGTGACCCCCACATCTACACAATACACCAGTGCCCTCAAGCCCCAGGCCAGGCCCCCACCACGCAGCCCCCCACTTTGAGCAGGACAGTGCTCTCAGATCCCCACAGGTGAGCAGAGTCGCCACACTGAAGCCCATCTCGGCCAGCCCCTCAGCCCTACGCAGGTCCTTCTGTTCAGGAACCTTAGCAGAGCTTGCCCTCTTCTGAACGGAGCTCAAAGCAGCTGCTTTCTGGCTCTCTGCACGGGTGGAAATGTCCTTTACATGCCCTGTCCTACCTGTAGCCACCAACCTCATGTGGCCATGAGCACTAAATAGTAGCTCATATGACTGTAACTGAATTTTAAATTTTAACTAATTTGAACTTAAACAGGTATATGTGGCTATGGGTATATCCTCAGACAGTGGAGCCCAAACCTTTAAACTTACATTCAAGGCCTTCTGCTCCTGGCCAATGCACTTTGCAGTTTCCTGTATCTTTCCCGGTTCACTCCTGGTCCATGGAACGCCCTCCCCTGCCCCACCCTCACACACACACACACACACACACACACACACACACACACACACTCAAAGGTCCTTCTTCCTCCTCAGCCTGGAATTCCTTTTTCCTCTTTGGATTCATTAAAGTCCAAGCGAAAGGCACCTCCTCTATGAAGGCAGCTGGGATTAGAATTGTTTCCGCAGGTTCTGCCTCTCTTTGGGGAAACCTGCAGGGATTGAACTGCCATTTAGCTCCCCTGTGCCTGGTAGCCAAGTTATCCCAGGCAGGGGCTGTTATCTCCATTTTCCACACAGGGAGATGGAGGTTTAGAGACATGGAATGAACAGCTTGGATGAGGCAGTGCCGGCTTAGAACCCAGATTTCGCAGCTCCCCTTGCTTCTGGGAACTGCACAGCCACTGTCAGAGTGTCCTGGGGCCTGGTGGGAAGAGGCCTCTTCTCGTCACTGGGGCCTTGACTGTGGAGAGGATGGCTGCCGGTAGCTGCCTGCTTCCCTGAGGTCAAAGGGCACCATCCCCGAAGTCACAAATCTCCTCTGCCCCTGCCCTGCCTGTAAGGTGCTGCGCTATTTGGTTTCCTCCTCAGAAGGAAGGGGGTAGAGGGCCTGGACTCTTTGTGTCATGGACCCATTGACCAGCCAGTGAGGTCTGTGGACATCTCAAAACAAGATTATTTTATGAATAAATTATAATATACAAGATGACAAAGCCAATCAGTTATACTGAAATACAGTTATTAGGATGTAAAAACAAATTTGGATCACAGCAATGTCCACACTTTATCAGTCCACTAAGTGACGAGATCTAGGTCTGCAAAGTGCAGTCATTTTGAAGCAGTGCTGGGGTGGGTGCTTGGTACGTTGAGATTTCTGCACCACGGGCACCGCTGGGGCCCAGCAAACCACCCTGTGCTGCCCTCATTTGTGATGGTGATTCCTCCTCTGACCCCACCCCTCTGCCAAGTCCATGAACACTTGGAGCCACAGTCTATGAACAGGGGTTATGCACGTCTGGACCAGATGGCTGGTAACCTCCTCGCCCTGTGACAGTGACCTTTCCCGTGACGGTGCTGGGGACCCCGGGCCAGCTCTATCCTCGACAGGCGGGAACCAGGTTGAATGCGTCAGCAAGATGAGGTGTGGGCCACCTTTCTCAACGTCCTTTCTCAAGGTCCCCACGCCCGCAGATGAAGGGGACCAGAGTTGACTTAGGGGCTTAGGTTCCCTTGCTGTCCTAGGAGGCGGTGGGTAAGAGGAAAGCTTTTCTGAGTGAAAGGCAGGTCTGTGGATATAGGATGATAGGGATTCGAATCCTGTCAGCACTGATTCTTAGTGACAGGGTCTTGGGCAAAGAACCTTGGGCAAAGAGCTCTTTGTGCTTCCATTTCCTACATGTGAAATGGGATGATTGATAATAATGGCCATTAGGTGCTATTAGGTCATTATGCAGCGGAAATGTGATGCTTGAGAAGCCCCCGCAGGCAGCAAGCAAGAGCTTGGGATTTGAGAGCCTGATTGTTTCTATTTATTTATTTCCTTTAAATTCACCAGAAGTGACTTTGGTCCTTGATGAACCCTGGGTCTTCCTCCTGGAGTTTAATTTGTACCTTGGGACAAGACCAGGACAATAGGATGTGGCCTTGCATTTTATTTAACCCTTGTCCTGAGCAGGAAAGTTCACACCTTGGGGTCTTGGGCATGAAGTGAGCACCACACTGCCCCTGTAAGCACTTCTTCTGCCCTGTGGACCGCCCTTGCTGCTCCTGCCACGAGCCTGCTGCCCCTGCACTTCTGCCTGGAATGTTCTTTCCCCAGAGTCTATGGGGCTCTCTCTCTCACCTCTTTCCATCTTTGCTCAAACTCCACCCTCACAATAAGGCCTATCAGACACCCTATCTAACTCTACAACTTGCCCCCACCCCAACATACACAGCCTAGTACCTTGGATCCCTATTCTTGCCCCTAAAATTTTTCCATGGTACTTATGAACTCAAAATATAACATTTAATTGATTTTACTCATGTGCTTATTATCAAATTCTTACCAGGACCATCATCTTTACCTGATTTTTCTCTCGATGCCCAGAAGAGCATAAAAGGTGAACATGTGAATGAAAAAAATAAATGTGGGGATGAAAGGGTGAGTCTCCACTAGCACCTCCCTGATCGGAGACGCCCTCCTCTCACCCGGCTTATTATTCAGTGGCTCCAGCCAGGTCTCCCGGCTCCCACCCCACAGTCCACCCTCCCCCATCATACCCACCCACCCACCCACGCACACACTCACATACACACACCACCAGTGGAAATTTCATGAGGCCCGGAGTTCATAACTGAATTTCCCCAGTGTGCATATTCTCTAGTATCTGAAACAGAGGGAGGGAGCGTGCAAATACTTGTTGAGTTAACGGAAAGAAAAACCTAGTTGAATTTTCAGAAATATCTAGGGGGGGACTAGGTTCTTTTAGTTGCAGGGCAGGGGTAGGGGTGTGGGGGTGGGCAAATGAGGTGGGGGGTGGGGAAGCCATGGCAGTTAGATACCCAGGGAGAGGCCCCTGTGCTGAAAGGAACGAGCACTTGGCCCTGCCCCTGACTTGCTGGCTGACCTCAGGCAAGCCTGTGGTTTCTAGCCTCAGTTTCCCTGGGTGCAGAATGAGAAGTATGGCCTACGTAAATGGTTTTCAAACTTTTCTGTTCATTTTTAATTAGAAGAAATAAATTCCCCAACTGAAATCTTTAGGGAAACTCTAGGGTAAAATAAGCAAGAGCAAAGATATGAGCTGCTGTGGGTGAGAGGTGGCTGGTGCAGTTGGGTTGGGGTGGAGGCAGGGGTGGGGTGTGAACAATAAGGGTCAGAGAGGCTCACACCTTACAAAACCATCCTGTGGAGCAGTCTGTGTCTCTGAGCCCCCCATTTCCTTTCCCACCCCCTCCTCCCACACAAGCCCAGTATCTTTCTGTCCCAACCACCCTCTCCCAGGGACACACAGTCCTTTTGCAGCTCTAAGCCAGACACTGCTCCAGTCAACTTTAAAAGGACTCCAGATGGGCCCACCGATCACTCCTGCTTCCCTCCTCAGCCCCCTTCCACCAGCATAGGGTCACAGACTGCAGCCCCCAAGGGCAGCGTTGGAAAAATAATTGGCCCCATTGTGATTATATGGTAACTGTATGGATATAATCTCAGCTCTCTCCCCTCATATAATCCAGCTAGGATTAGGAAAGCAATATGAGTGACTTTCTTATAGTAAAAGCAAGACGCCACAACAAAGATCAGCTCTAGAGAACACTCCAGAAAGTCTCTGGAATCCTGTCCCCTCTTTCTCTACAACTCTGAACCACCATCTAGTGCAAAGTTCATCCTTGTGTCTAACCTCAACCTTACCTGCTTCTGTTCCACCATCCCCTATCTTCCAAATGCACAGTTCTGGAACATGACAGATTGGAGACAAGCCCCTGGATTCTACTCTAAGCATATCATGAGGCTGCAGGCAAGTCACCAGCCCAGTCTGCGCCTTACTAAACCAAGTCGTCTCCCCACCACCCAGAGCTTCCCCACTGCCCCTTCTTGCCTGTCGGCGGCGATGGCAGTCATGGAATAGATGCTGACGAATATGGACATGATGGGAAAGAGGTTCAGGAAGTGGCAGAAGGCACGGCCAAAGTACCAGATGTTGTGGCTGGCATAGACGAAGTTGAAGGCCACGTTAAAGGTGGCCATGAAGAGGTCGGCCAGGGCCAGGTTGACGATGAAGTAGTTGGTGACTGTACGCATCCTCTGATGGGCTAGAATGATCCAGATTACTGTAGCATTGCCTATCACGGCCACCAGCACTAGGGCCAGGTAGGCTGTGGCCCACAGTGCCAACTGCCAGCCGGGCATGGAGAAGGCTGTGATGCCCGTGGTGTTGCTCTCAAGGCTGGATGAGGTATTGGTGTCTGTCACCTCTGCACAGGCTCCCATGGCTGCTTCTGAGTCTGGGACCGGGGACCTGGCTCCTTGGCTCCTCCTGGATGCCTATCCCTGGTGCCTTGTCTGGATATGCTAGGGAGGACAAATCCTTTTTGGCCCCTAAATATGTGAGAGAGCAGAGTCGGTGCCAGGCCAGGCACAGTAAAGGAGCCTGGGGTCACGCCCAAGTCTCAAGCAAAGATGAGTCCAGCTGAGCAGAAAACCAGCTCTAGAATCACTGGCATTTCAGATTCCCTTGTGCCGGTCGCACTTCTCAAATGTCACGTGGTGGTCTAGAATCCACGACTCTGTTAAAGAGCAGGAAACATCCTTGTAAATAATCAGTCCATCCTTTCACTGCAGAAATGGAAAAACAGATTCCAAGAAAAGATGGGACCAGCCCACGTCACTCAGCGAGTTGGTGACCAGCCAGGACTCAAACTCAGGTCCTTTCTAATGCTGTTTGGACAACATTCTGGATCAAGGGCGCGCACAGCAGGAGTCTCTGGATTCCGTAGGTCAGCTGTTCAGCCGGCTGTCTTTCCAGGATTTGGGGTGCAGGCCGGTCTGCCAGCCCACGGCTCTGCCAGCCCACAGCTCTGCCTTCCAGGCTGCTCTTTCTTGCAGGGCAGGCAAGGACCTTGGCAGAGATGCTGCCTGCTCAGGGGTGGGGCTTTGTCTCCCTCCCCTGACCCCGCCCCCTCCTGGATGGCCCAGCCTTGGGTTGGCTGTGGAGGCAGACAGAAATCAGGGGGAGACAGGAGGTGGCAGGGCTGGGGGTCAGCATGATGGGCAGACTTCGGTGTGTGTCTATATTCAGCCCAGGCAAGAGTTACATCTAGAAAGTGATTAGGAGCTCACAATTGTGAGTCAATCTGGGTTCAGGTTGGCCTTGAAATCCAGGCCTGCCTGTTAACCTTTCTGAGCTTCAGTTTCCCTCTGTGGAAAAAAAAATAAGGTGTATGTCTCACCAAACATTTGTAGGTTTTTTTTTTTTTAAAGATTTATTTTATTTATACAAGAGCTGGGGTATAGGTCAGAGGCGTGGGAGGGTGAGAGGATTCACCAGAGACAGAGTGGAGAGCAGAACAGGCAGACAGACCAAAAGAACTGCTGAGGGAGCAGCAGGCGAGACTGGAGAGGTTTGCTGCGCCAGGTGGGTAGCTCCCTAACCGGCGGGGAATTGAACCCGCGCTGCAGAGGCTGCGGACAGCTTCACAGCACTGCCCTCAACTTGCTACGCCACTGGGGAGGCCCCAACATTTATAGGTTTTTAATGAGATCATGTCCATAAAGTCTATTTAGTACAGGGCCAGCAGGGAGTCGTTGTCCCACAGGAGGCCCCCAAATGACTGTGGGTACTGCAGGGGGTAGAAGACAAGAGCTCAAAGCACTTCTAACAACTTTGCAGGTGATGTTGCTGCTACTGGTCCTGGTGCCTCACTCTGAGAACCACTGCCTGCAAATTAGGGCAGGATTCACTCTTCTTCCACGAGCCTCAGAATGGAGGGAATTTAAACCTTGAGGGGTGGCTCTTGGTTTGCCCACAGCAATCTGCTCTTGGTCATTGACTGTGCTGGGTGTCTGGCAGTGTGTGAGCCCTGTGCTGTTTGGAGTGATGGTGCATGACCGACGTGTGTGAGCGCACACGCCATCACTCTGTGGCCCCTGGAGGAGAGGCAGGCTCAGAGGGCAGGGCGTGTCCTCAGAAAGCAGAGGAGGGCACTCTTCACCAGCACCAGTGGCCCTGCTGTGCAGAGCCTGTGCTTGGTTTCTGGGATACAGCCCTGCTTTTTGTGGGGGGCTGCTTGCCAGACCCCATCTTTCCTTGTGGGATGCCTGACCTCCCAGAGTGAGCTCCAGAACCTGGCCAGTGCTGGCCTGGCCACAGGGTGGGGCCTGTATGTTCTTTTTTTTTATTATTTTATATTTAAGGAGAAGGTTTATTAGAGACAGGGACAGAAGAGTAAAAGACACTTGCATAGACACAAGCAGGCAGGAAGAGCTGCCCTGAAAGGGACAGGTTTGCTGAGAGAGACCTGCATGGTTGCAAGGGGGTGGCCTTGAGGAGAGCGGCCTCTGCTGAGGGAGGTCAGTGAGGAGAAGCCCCAGCAGGTACAGGTCACGGGCAGGCAGGGAGGCTGCTGCCCTGCAGAGGAGAGAGTTGGTGAAAGGAAGCACCTGCATAGTCCCAGGTGGGCAGACGGAGTGCTGCCATGGGGCCTGTCATTCTCTGGACCAAACCAGTGCCCTCTGTTCAGACACTGCCCCTGGTGGAAGGGGGTCTGCCTTTGATCGCTTTTGGCAGCCACTGTAGCATCCATTCCACTTTGGGGCCTTGTTGTCTCCTGCTCCTCTGGCAGGATTCTGGAGGTAGTGTGTGTGGACTTAAGGATGTCAGCATAAGGCAACCTTCTTTCAGCTGTTCTGCCTCTGCCTCCCTGGCAGCTGGAATCGTTGAGCTTCAGGAGCAAGCACAGTGCAGGGCTGGACCCTCTTGAGCGTGTCATGAGGCATGGAAGGCCAGAGTAGTAGGGGTTCCTCCTCCCCCACGGCATCCCTCTACCTCCACTGCATTTGTAATGAGGATGGCATTTTGGGGTTAAGTCTGAGTTTTCATTGTCCCCTTACATCATGTGCTCTTGCCCTTCCCAGCAATGTGCTTGGAGACTGGGGAGGGAGCTCGCCTGCTGAGTCCATCCCCATGGTCTTGAAGGCTAATTTTTCCTCCCTTGAGGTGTAACATTTTATTGGCAGTTGAGGGGAAGAGCCTCCCCTCCCAGTCCTTATCCAGGGGACTCCCCTGCTAGAGGGAGGCCCTCCGTCCCTCAGAGGGTAGAGAGCAAGTCCAGCTGAACACCATGTGTTCTGACTGCAGCTCTGACAGACCCTGTGTCTAAAATGATTCTTTCGGGGAGCCTTGTGGGGGCACAGGTGGCCTGGGCTTCACACTTCCTGGTGCAGGTGTGCTGGTACAGGTGTGCTGGTACACGTGTGCTGGTACAGGTGGCCAGAAGGGCCGAGACCTTGGACAAGGCAGCTCTCTGCTGCGAGGTGGTGGGTTGATGCCTGCGCGCTGGTAACTGCACTCACAGACACTTGAAAGGACTCTGGGGGGCATGGGGCTGAGCAGTCCCCTCCCTTCTTTCCATGGGGCCCCCAGAGCTCCCCTTGCTCTGTGTTCTAGTGACCCTTAGGTCAGAGGCTTGCAGACTAGAGTCAGGAGAACTGTTTTCCAGGGAGGAAAAGAAAGTGGGAGCAGCTGCAGGGGTGAGGGGAGTGGGTGGGAGAGAAAAGGGGGCTTTGCACCTGGCCGCATCTCTGACCTGGACTGTAGCAACGGGGCGGTGGCCTCAGCGGGTCGCCTGCAGCATCGTGAGACATAAGTGCTGGAAGCAGCCGGGTCATCTGGAGCCCGTGAAGGTCACCAGCGCTGGGCAAAGTGAGGACAACCGCAGCGCAGGGAATGTCTCATTTAGCTAAATAGTCTGGTTTGAAGGATCAACTTTCCTTCTGAAATGATGCCCCTTCTGCTTTGGGGTTTAAAATGTCCCTTCTTTCATGAAACAATGTGATGGCAGATGATACTTGCTAGCCTGGCTTTCCTTTTTCTCTAAAATTCCTTACTTGTAGAATAAAATATGTGGGTGCCTCAGTTAGGTTTTCGATGTTTTATCAATCTGTGCAATTCAAAGATCCAGGACCCCTAATCTCATTCTTCATTAGGACAAGAGGAGGTGGAGGTTCAAGAGGGGAAGCTTGGCCACAGGGCCCTGTGTCAGCAAGGTGGGCCCACATCCCCCATCATGTCCCTCTGTCCCACACGACCTCTACCGGCCTGACCACCTCTTCTCTCCGGAGACCCATCAAAGCCACCCCCCTGGTCACCTCCCTGTCTCATGGAGGGGCTTGGGTGTATCCTGTTTTTGGCCCTTGTCTGGGGGAGTGGCTAGCACTTCTTAACTACCTTATAAATATTGATTGAATGAAAATGATGAATACAGGTTAAAATAAGACTCAGGATAAATGATGTTGACTCATAGGTCATCTCTAAATACAGCATTTCCGCATACATAGTTGACTCTTGAATAAGCGGGCGTAGGAGGTGCTGTTACCCTCTCTGCCTTGCAGTCAAAAATCTGTGTAACTTTTATTTTCCTCAAACCTAAGTGCTAATTGCCTGCTGTTGACCTGAGGTCTTGCCAACAACTTAAACATTCCATTACCACTGATTTTGTATAGATATTACACACTGTATTCTTAGAGTAAGCTAGAGAACAGCAAATGTTATTAAGAAAATCATAGGACTAGAGAATACATTCGCAGTGCTGTACTGTATTTACTGAGAGCATAAGTTGATGTCATCTTTTTACAAGATGAATCCAAATATAGTTGGATCTGCAGGATTTAAGCCCATGTTATTCAAGGGTCAATGGTACATAAACAAGAAAGCCTGAAACTAAAGGGTAGCACTTGTGGTAGGATTTTAGGCCATTTTGAGTGGGCAGACAGTCTCAGTTCACAATGCCTGGCACATTGACACATAGTACATGCTCAGTAAATATCAGATGAATAGATGGATAACAAACGGTAAAGTTTAGAATATTACTTTGCCAGGGTGAAGGGAGTAGTATCTTATTTTCACAGGATCTAAAGCTTAAACAAAAAGAACATGTCTGTGTAGGTTGGGCGTGGTTTCTAGAGAACATCAGGGTCTCTGTAGCATCCCAGGATTTATTCCTCATGGGTAACCTCTTTTGTCTATAACCAGAGGGTCCCAGACCAGTCCCTTTGAAGCTGAGCTCCATGGGTCCTGCCTGGCCTGGCCTATCAGTGGCTCAAGATCTGGGACTTCAGTGGAGACAGGGGAACTTGGCTTTGCAGAGAGCATGGTCTGCAGCTGACACCTTTTTTAAACACTGTGTGGTGCCGCTCCCTGAAAGCCTGAAGTTTATCTAGCTGGAGAAGAGAGGCTGAGAATGTTTACATCTACCATAGCCCTGGTGTACACAGAGCTCAGAAGCTTTTAACAGAGCTGGTTCATTTCTCAACATCGTACTC